ATATACCATCTTAGATAGCCATGCCTATTTAGTTGCATTTTTGCATGTGTTACATTAGTCATATTGAGCATAGTTAGGATCATGCATTGATTTCTAACTAGTTCTCTATTTTGGCTTCGAGTACACTGTGAGTGTTTATGCTTTAGCATACTTGTATGAGTGTGAGTGTTGCCATGTTTCACATGCTTGCCATGAGGCTATTTGCTTAAGTGATTTAACTGCATGAATGCCTGTGGATGAAGGCTTCATTATTTGAATTGGAACAATTCATCAAAATGTGAGTTTTAAGCCCACTTAGAGTGGCAAATCATCATATTTTAAGCCCACCTTGTTTGGTGGCAAATCCGCATTTCTAAGTCCACTTGAGAATGGCAAATTCAAACCATTTTTGAAAACAAACATGAGATGTTTTGTTCCAAATTGAGTGATTCAGTCTATACTTGTATGCTGTGCGTATCACGTAGTAAGTTAGATAATAACCAGAATAAGAACATATGTATTTATAAAACAACATATCATGCTAAGTAGAGGCCGATCCTTTGATTGGTCGAGCGGGGCTGCTCATTTCATGACCTTCCCGCCTCGTACCCGAGTTCCCGAGTCGAGACAACTTTGGTGATGACAGACACGTGGCCTTTGGCACGAGTCAGGGTTTCCTAAATTTCTCCAAAATAAAATATTTAGGTGGCAACTCTGTAATCTGGCAAAGCAGTCCATGTTTGGCGCTTTTTGATTAAAATCAATTTTCCAAAGCGATTTGTCAAATTTGAACTCTTTGGTGATTTATCAGTCTTACATTGCACTTTGTGAGATTAAATTCAGAACCATGACAGGAGTCCGAACTGTAGTAGCTAAGAACCCAATTCGCGCCCTCCCTGAAAGGGGGGCGCGTGGAGGAAGTTCGGGCGATCTACAATAGGTTGTGTCAAATGAGACAACATCTCCAAATGCTTTCCAAGCCACCCTACTCCTTGCATCCGTCCAAAACAAGTTTCGCATGCAACCATCTTCATCTAAGTCAATTGTAGAATAGAAGTTCGAATTTTGTTGTTGCATGTTATGAAAATAAAGTGTAAGAGAATCAGTATCTTCTACCCCAAGTCTCAATTTCCTATCATTCTGAATGTGATTCCTTGCATCTCATTCGTCAAATGTTATTCCTAGCCACCTATATCCCTGCTGCATCATTTATTTCTAGCCTCCTTATCACAGGAGTACGAATCCTCTTATTCATTGCAAAATGCCATGAGTCACTAGTAGGAATGGCAACGGGGCGGGGCGGGGCGGGGCCGGGGATCACACTTCCCGTCCCCGATCCCCGATGGGGAAACTATCACCGTCCCCGCCCTCTAACGGGGATCGGGTTTCCTTGACCCCGAACATTCCTCGGCCAAAAAAAAAAAAACCTTCAGAAAATACAACAATTCATCATCAAGAACAACAACATCATCATCATCATCAAGACTAACAAATGTGTAAATCATATATGAAATTTGTGTATAATGAGACAGATCTGAAACAGATCTGAAATTTGTGAAACAAATCTGAACCAGATCTGAAAAAAAAAAAATCTGTTTCAGGTGTGGTCGACGATGTCAAGAAGAGAAGGAGTGGATGGGAGACGCGGTGGTGGTAGTGGTGGTGGTACGAGGTGGACGCCGGTGGTGGTCGGCGACGTCGAGAAGAGAGGGAGTGGATGAGAGACGCGGTGGTGGTAGTGGTGGTGCGAGCTGGACGGCGGTAGTGGTCAGCGACGTCGAGAAGAGAGGGAGTGGATGAGAGACGCGGCGGTGGCGGTGGTGGTGGTGGCGAGAGCTGGACAGCGGTGGTGGATCTGAGAGAGAGAGATAAGGCAATGAGTGAGGTAGAGAGACATGGCTGTGTGAGAGAGAAGTGAGTGAGACCTGCTTAGTTTGGAAATGGTTTTTATGCTTTGATTATATATATTTAGGGGTAAAATAATAATTTCACATCGGGGATAAACTGGGCTGGGGAACAGGGACGGGGACAGGCCGGGTATGGGACTAGGACACTTATCCCCGTTACCGACCCGAATATGTTCGAGGATTGATTTTTGAATACCATCCCCGTCCCATCGGGTGTATTTTTCAGGGAAAACCCGCTCAATTCGGGGTCGAGGGGTCGGGTCCCCTTCGGGCCGGGTTCAAATTGCCATCCCTAGTCACTAGGAATCAAGGCATGAGTATGCTCAAGCATAACTGTGGTTAACTTATATATTCCATCCTTTTATAGACTAGCTCTTACCCTTGCTTTACATTCAATCTTTGATGACAAAGATGGTTCCAAAGGATTTACTTCTTGTCTTTTTGTTCTCGTCCGCCCCCGAGCACATTCAATTTCAAAGTATTTTACCTCCCCATCATCTCCAATATTCTGTGTTCTATAAGCTATAGCAAATCCTAGGTGTTTTGCATATTTCGCATAAAACGTGTACACTTCTTTCTTTGAGCTAAAATGCATACCCTTCTTCGGTTCTTCAACTTCACCACTCTCATTTAATGAAAGATTGTTGTCCGGTTCTTCAACTTCCTTAATCCCATTGAATGAAGTATTATTTGAATCTATGTCCATTGTAGCTTAAAACTGAAATATAGATTCACAATGAGAAAGAGTATACAATCCTAAATAATTCCAAAGCTTTACATACTCAAGTAGTAGCTTAAAACTTAAAATAACATTCCTTGTCCAAAAGCCCAATAAAGAACAAAATTTCCTTGTCTACACAGGATGATTTAAAAATTTAAAAAGCAAAAAGAAAAACTCTCTTTTTCCAAAAACTTGTAATAGTATCCAAAAACTTGTAATAGTAAAGGCTATGAATAGCCCCCAAATTTAATTATCAAAATAAAAGAAAACATGTATTATTTAACCCCAACATTATCAGAATAAAACATTGCTATTAATAGCCCCAAAATAATCAGAATAAAACATGTAGTATTTAATTAGAATAAAATATTGCTATAAAACATGTGTTATTAAATTATCAAAATAAATGGTCAAGAAGGCCTCTTATTAAGATTTTTCCTTAAGCCCCATCGAGGGTTGGGCCATCCTTACATGCATTTTACTTGTATCTGCAACCTTACATGCATTCTACTTATATCTACTGAATAGTTTTTCACAACTATTATTAGGAAAATTTTCTAAAAACAAACTATCTTATAGGAAAACACAAACAAACAAAGCAAAATATGTTCAAGAAGGCCTCAAATATTTTCCAACATTTAATATGAGGTTCTGATATTAAACTCCACATGATTTGTTTCAAACACTAAATTTGTTTCAAGATTTCTCCCACAAAATCTCTATTTGTTTGAAGATTTCTGCCGCAAATTTCAGATCATTAATCAATATGTTTGTAAACCTTAACTATCCCAGATCATTACTCCCCCATTTCAATACAAGCAAATCATCGAACACCTTGATAGCAGAAAATCCAGGTACCCGTGAGTTGCAGATTACACAAGCAAATCATTCCAACATTTCATAGGCATATATATATACAAATTACACAAGAGGGAGCGAAGGAGTTGAAGTTGAAGACACATATACCCGTGAGTTGCCTTCACTAACAGTCGAAATGCGATTCACGAACAGGTCGATGGTGTTGGTGGCAAAAGCATAATTTTGGTGGTCGTCGGTGGTCACCCAGGTTGATCGTGAGCAGCACCAACTAGGCCGGTGATCAGCAGTGGCACACAACTCGGTCAGTAGGTCACGAGCTACAGTTTCGTCCTCCTCTCTCTCTACTCCCGCTTCGTCTTTGTTTTCCTCTCTATTCTCACTTCATCTCTGTTTTTGGAAATCAAACGTGTGCTTGAGTGAAGGTGTACGACTGGGCGAAGGAGAAGACAACCCCTTGCCAACTCATTCGGACCATTCGAGCCGAGTGAAATTCGGGCTACGTAGCTGCACTGTACAATAATTATCATGTAGTTTATTAATAAAGCAAATTTAACTTACATTTGAATTTATAAAGAAACACCATTGACACCTCATAATAGATTATAATATATATCAATTTTTTTTGTTTGTTTTGAATATAATATTATTTATTCTTAAAATTCTTAATGATAAAAAACTGAGGACGTGTAATAATTTTTATTAAAAAAAATTATATGTTCAAAATTCAATCTTAAAATTGGACATAACCGCCTCAAATGAAATGGTTCCTACCAAATGTGTAAACCCAACCTCATAAGAGAAAGTTGTGATTGAATTTTGTGAACGGAGAAGAAGAACAGCTTACGTGTCAAGCATGGAAGTGGTAAATAAGCACACACAAAAAAAAAGTTTTTACCTCAATTTTGACTACTAACCCAAGTGATATGCCATAAGATCTCATCATGTTATTAGAGGTTGGTTTTAGAATTTTAAATTTGTGAGATATAATATTACTATAAGCAAAAATTATTATACAAGTCAAGAAAATCACGTAACTATATATGTTTATATAACAATATCATTTTATTTTATTTTATTTTATTATTTTTTAGTTTGTAGACGATATAATTCTTTAGACTCCTTAGAGGCACGACATGTTGAGACTAGTCAAGTCACACATAAACTAATTCAAGCCCCTCATTATAAAAAAAGAAAAACAATTATTATTAATGATTGTCTACACTAACACGAAAGAGTTAGGTTAAGAATTTCAAATAATTTATCAAATTTTTACTAAACCATATGATTAGGAGACCTACACATATAAATTTATATAAGTCACATACCCATCTAAAAGGTTTGCTAAATTATTCAAGATCATAATATTTTCCAATATGAAATTCGCACCCATGACAATTACTCAGTCGGGGGTAGGTCTCCTGATCTGAGTCAGCAACATGTCAAATGTCTCCTAGTATATCTGACACGTGTACATGAAACATGCATACGTGGTGGACACGAAGGCCTCTCACGTGGTGGACACGAAGACCCAACTCGTTTAATTTTGATGGAGCGTGGTAAGAAAACACCCACTTAGAATAATGGCGTTCCTACTTTCTTTTTAATTTTCTCGGGAAAATATTTTTGTTGCTGATTTGATTGATTTGGGTTTCTGGGGTTTAATGTAGGTTGTTCAGTAATAAACTGGATTACATCTTTTGCAATCAGAAGACCCAGAACATATGACGAAGAAAAGCAAAATCAATCCCAAGGACAATCATATTTCATTCCAGGTACTTTCAAGTTTCAATCTGATCTATTGTAATATCTTTTTATTATTTTCATTATGTTTATATGTAATTTGTCACTTTCTTGAACTAACTTGGGAATGATGACAATAATCAGTATCTGAATAGTTACAGAAGGAACCCAACATGAAGACAAGGATGATTCTCTCCAACTTTTTTTGGCTTTATTAGGTTGCATGCCAAAAACACAGAAAAAAATTTGATTTTCAATTTTGTTTTTTTTTTTTGTTTTTGTTTTTTTATTTTTATTTTTAAATTTAACTTGTGAATCAACATAACAAGACGTGTACATTATGCTGTTCTGATAGGTTTAAAAATAATCATTTTGTTTGACTTTGTGATTAAAGTAGATGTTTGAATTTTTTATTTTTCATATTTGTTTGGTATTTTTTTAATATTTTAATTAATTTTGTACTTTCAAGATTCAATAGGTACCCAAAAAATAACATATTTAATGATTTTTTTACTTTCTGGTTTATTTTCAGAGTTTTAAATTTTTTTTTTAATTAAAACAGGTTGAAATAAGAATTTGATTAAAAATTTGGAAAACAAAAAATTTATAAGCAGTTTTTAAAAACTAAATCAAACAGAATGAATGGAATTTTGATGCATGACAATTTCCTATTTTGATTTGAGAATTACAACTTGTACAGAATTTGAAGGAGTATAGGCTGTCCATGGGTTGACATCTGGGTATGCAAAAATGGTTGAGACACCTAATTTATTACCCATAAAATCTATCCTATTATTAGGTCGAACAATGCCACATCGTTATTTAGAGATGATAAATTAGAGGAGGTAGAATTGTTGATCTTGGTATAAAGAATGGTGTTACATCCTTCTAATTTTGTATCCTTATTCCACGTTTGTGATGCAATTGGGGATGATGAATTGGGGGATGGAGTATTTCTCTTTGATTAGTTATGTTGTATACAAGGTTCTAAATCGCGGTATCGGGTAACGTAACGGTATCGATCGCGGAGTATCGGTATCGGTAGTATCGATCGGTACGTATCGGGAATCGGGTGTCGCGGTGGTGAAATTTTAAAAATCATTTCAAAGGTATTTCAACTTTTTCTTTCCCGTACCGGTCCGAATCGGTGAGTATCGGCCCGTCGCGGCTTGTGTAACGGCTTGTGTAACACTTACAGGCCGATACGTACCGGGACTCGGCCGATACTCCTGTGATTTTCAATCTCAGTGGTATATCGGCCTGTATCCGTCGCGGTACCCCATTTTTCCGATACGTATCGGCCGATACGTAGCGTATCGGCCGATATTTAGAACTATGGTTGTATACAGTATATGAGATTAAGCAACTTAGTGATCAGAATGTGGAACTGGCTGTCAGATTAGTTAAACGATACGCGGTTTGTTTTCTGTGTCATTGCAGTGTGAGATCATGGCAATGGTGGAGAAGAAGCTGAAGGAAATGGGAATCGAATGCATGAGGCAGATGGTGGAGGAAGGTGGGATTCACATCGATCAACTGTTCTTCCATGACCCGGATGGCTTCATAATCGAGATATGCAACTACGATAACATCCCCATTGTCCCACTATCTGGAGAAGTGGTTCGATCATGTTCCCAGGTGAATCTGAACAAGAAAATGCAGCATCAGCAGCAACAAATACAAGTAGTCCAACCATAGGAGAGCTATAGCTAGCATGCCTCAGCTTTCTCTCCTTTTGTTTTTCTTGTTTAATTCGTTTATTAATTTGGGGTTTATGTATTAAGAACTTGGTGATCTCATGATTACATTCCATCAACAAAATGATAATGGTCATTTATGCCCATCTTGGAATCTTATTATGAGCTTGTATGCAAATTGTGATTCTCTCCTCCATGGCTTTAACTGGGGTTTGGTTGTAAATATTTTGGAGTGCTTGGCCATGTTATAGCCTGAACTTTTTACTCTTTTGGTTTGGCAATTATTTCAAAAGTGGGGAGTAAGGCTACACTTGAATATGATAAGAGTAATTTTTTTGGATGTTTTGGTGGGTGTTTATGTTATAGGATAAAAATACAGAAGTGACTTTCTGCTTACATTGTGATTAGAAGTGAAAAATCTAAAATCTCAGAGACATTAATTTATAATTATGTATCAATTTTAAATAGTAAATAACAATTTCAATCAAACAATTAAGACAAATCAACGTAACGATTTTAACGTGAAAAAATTACAATTAGAGCATCTCCAATTGTGATAAAAAAATTACGGACAAAAACCACAAAACAATCCACTAAGAAGACATAAATGAATTACACAAATGTACTCAATTACCTAACGAATCCACTCCCAAATCGAACCGACCCGTATATATCTATTGCAGCTTCGTCTTTACCTTGGAATTGTCTTGCCCAAAGTTGAATCCACAACGTCGATGTCAAATGCACAACGATGAGCCACTCCGGAATCCACCAAAGCTTCACGCCCGAATTCCCCAGAATCCACCAAAGAACAACTCTCTCTTTTGTATTGAATGAAACAAACAATCCTTTGATGTATACTTCTCAAACCATGAGTTAAACTCAAACAAATATAAAAAAAACTAACAAAAAAGCTCCAGAAGAAAACCCTAATATCCAAGAAGAAGATCTGGAAGCCGTACCTTAAAACCTAACTGAACCGCACCTTTTATAGCAAACAGATCTGCGATCTCCACTCGAGCGCAGGAATAGCAGCTCGAGTGGACTGACTAAAACGCATGTGACTAAACAGGGTCTACGCTCGAGTGCAAGAATGACTGCTTGAGCGGAAAAAAATAACTCCCAGTACTTTTGCAGGCGAGTGAAACTTCTAAAAGGTCGCGATCTCCACTCGAGCACAGGAACGGCAGCTCGTACGGAAAAACAACTTCGACTGCAATTTTGCTTTTCCCTGACATAGTCAGTGAAGTGGCAAATATGAAATAATAAACTCTTGAAACATCTCTACAAGGCACAATTCGAGTTGGATTCGCATCAAAAAACTCATAGCCTCACTGAAATAAAAGTTGAACAAAATTACAACTGAAAGGAGTTTCGTCAAACCGGATTGCTAATAACAAAAACCTAACAAGAAGGAATGTATTGAATGACTATGATAAAAGTAATTTTCTAGATATTTTTGTGGGTGATTATGTTATTGGATAAAAATACAAAATTGACTTTCTTCTTACATTGTGATTAGAAGGAATGTTACAAGTCTCTTAGTTACTAAGGATGAGTTTTACTCGTGGTGTATGTATTATTGTGTGGTATCAAAGTCAATTACTACGTTGAGTATGGAATCAGATGCACTTGCATTGAGTATGAGATATGCATATATGTAAGTTTGGGAGTATGGAATCATGTGCACTGGCATTGAGTATGAGATCGGATGCATTTATGTAAGTTTAGGTTCAAATGAGTGCGGCTTTGCAGTTCAAGTCTTGAAGGGAGCGACTTATAAGTTGGTTACACCCAAAAAAATATCAACCCTTTGGCCTATAAGTGCGTTACACCTAAAAAATATTAAACATTGATAGTTGAGTAAAGAAAAGAAAGACCATGACTTGAATAGGATTGGTGTACTCCCTTATAAAATATTGGATGCAAGAATGTAAGACTTTTTTTTTATCAACTTGATCAAATATAGGGATGGAATCGGTCTTTTAAGTTTAAAATAAAATATTTTTTCATAACTCATCGTAGACCGTACAGTTAAAAAAATGTTGAACACTGATAGTTGAATAAAGCCGTTAAAAAAGAAAGGACTATCACTGTGATGACCATTTACGTTGTACGTCTCTTCCCTCCTTGTTTACATTGGGTTTGCCCTTATTAGAGTGTCGGGTCTAAGTTGGAGCCTTGTTAATTGTTTGGGTTTGTTGTGTCCGGAAGTTTTTCTCAAAATTCTTGCTCTTGTTTATTCCGGTGTTGATTTTCACTTGTTCCGGAGAGTGTGAGGTTGGACCCGGAGTGTCTGGAGTTGAGTTGGAAATTTTATGGGTTGGAGAGCCAAGGCCGCACGTGCGGACAGGGGCCGCATGTGTGGGAGGTGAGGCCGCACGTGCGGGGAACAGTGGAAATTTCTAGGTTGCATTCTGCATAAAAGACATGTGAAGAGGAAGGTGCGGAAGGAGGAGCAGGAAAGTCGCCACACGTGCGGGGGTGAAGGCCGCACGTGCGGTGGTAGGTGGAGTCCGAAAATCTCTAATTTTCTTCCCTTTTGGCTGCTTGTATCTCACTTTGGATATCTCTCTCTCTCTCTCTCTAAAAAAACTCTTTTCTCTCCCTTCTCTCTACATTTCTCACCGAAAACATCACAAGATCTTTGATTTCTCCAAATCCATACACATTTTGACCCAAGTTCCTTCATCAAAGTTGGAGAGCTAAGCAAGAGCTACATTGTGTGCAGTGCAGATTGGGTTTTGGCACCGTCGATTTTGGGGGTTTCATCTCTTTTCCTTCTCCAAACTTGAGGTAAGGACTTCTTTGAGTTATATATACATGTTTTTGCAAGGTTGATGTTGATTTTATGGTTTTCTTGAAGATATTATGAAAGTTTTGACTTTTGGCTCAAGAATGTAGGGATTTTCAAAAGTGGGTTTAAATTTCAAATCTTTCTAAGTTAATCCTTGAGGGTTTCACCTTCATTGTGTGAGAAAGGATGTTTTGTGTGTGTGTGTGTGTCCTTTAAATAGGTGAAGAGATACCTAATCTTAGCTAAAGACCCAAATTTATGGATTTTTGAAATGGGTTGAGGGTCTATAAAATTAATCAATTTGTTGTTATGCCACAATGGAAGAATGAAATGGAAAATATCTTTTTCCATTGTAGAAATGATAAGTTTCATGGAATGTGGGAAATATGGAGATGGGAATTTGTAGTTGAAATTGTAGATACGGTTATGAAGTAACAAATTGTTGGTCTAATGTAAAATGTGAAAAATATCCATTTGTTGATGAATTTAAACGAAATTATGGGTATCATGCTAGATAATGTTGAAAGAGGAGTGGAAAGTTTGATTATGATGAATCATCGTTGAGAAATTTGATGACGTAGAAATGTTATGTAGTGATGATGATTATTACATTGCATATTCATTCAATTGATTAATACAAGGTTATTATTTAGCTTTGACATATGTTGTGTTGGCATTTCTAACATTGCATTGTCACAAGTGTCAAATTGAGATTTGAAAACATTTACATTGAGAAAGAAATGTTATGAAATGAATTTATTGAAATGTTTTGGGATAAATACGTTGGTAAGTCCGGGTAAGAAGTGTAGATGAAATTGATTAAGTTAACCTGAGTGTCCGGGGTGAAAGATCGAAAAACACGCGCGGAGGAGGTACCACTTCCTTTCCGGTTAGCAACCGACAAAATAGAGTTTTGGTAGTGCTAGTTGAGCCTACTTGCAGACAACAACCTAGAGATTACCTGAGTCATATTTACTGCCCCATTGAATTAAATTGAAAATTTACTTATTGTTGAGACTTCAAATTATCATTGAGCATGGTGGTTTGCATAAGATGAAAAATGTAATCTTGTTTTAAATGGCATAGCATGACAATGCATTCCATATTGGGAATCTTGCATAAATGTATATACTTTGTTGAGAATTCTCTACTGGGCTTTATGCTCACCCTATGAGACTTTGGTACAAGAAAAGATGAGGTAAATCCACCAAATTAGGGTGTGGATGTGTGTATCAAGAGCACGAGGCTCTATTTTGTTGTGATCATATTTTTGTAAAGCCAAGGGCCATATTTGTGTGGGTGTTGAGACACCATTTTTGTGTAATCGGACTTAAGCCTTGGAATTTGTAAGCCTTTGAGGGCATTTTATTTACTTTTGAATTTGACGTTCTACATGTTATAGATTCTTGTATGTAATATCATTGAATGTATAAATCACATGTGGGACTATTTTGTACAAACTTCTATGATCAATGTTATGATGATTAGGGAGTTATTATTCTTTAATGAATGTTAGTTGATGTATCGAGATTATGTTGGGTAAATTTTGGGGCGTTACAACTTCGTATCAGAGCTATTGGGTTTGAATACTTGGGACTCGCAGGGAGTGGTTGTTATACCACATGGGTTCATTGTGCATGATTAGGAGGTGTTCTGTATTTTGTGAATTATGTGATAACATGTTTATGTTACTATTTGGATATGGGATTGGATTTTTGGGATGTTGTTTGCACCTATTAAATTCTTTGAGGTCATATTAAAAAGGTACTTGATCAATACTCATTCTACTAAGAATTCTTGGCTTTTCGTGGCACAAATTTCATCATAAAAGGATAATCCGTATGTGCTTATGTGACTAAGTGCTTATGTGGAGTGTGATTGAATTGTTTGTATGGTAGAAAATGTATAGAATTGTGGTGGTCAAACGTGTGAGAGAAGTCGCGAGCACATTTGAGATTTATGTACTAAATTGTTTACCGTGTTCCTTAATTAGGATGTCAGGAAGGGGTCAAGCCCATGGTGGTAGAGGTGGAAGGTGTGGTAGGGTTCGCCGGGGTGTGCAGGAAGTATCGGTCCATGAGATTTTGGTGCAAGCGGAGGGGTTGGGCCAAGCTAATGTGGCCGAGCAGGTGGGCCAAGCAAAAATTTCTGGGCAAGCGAGTCAAGCCACAATGGGGGCCTTAGCCCGAGAAATGGCGGAGGCCTTGAGGGAGTTGATGAAGGGTAGAGAACCAAGCTAGAGAGAACGCCGTAGAGACGAGGGTGAGCTTTCTCACTAGGGAATTTTTTCGGGCTAAGCCGGATGAGTTCCATGGTGGCCTCGAGCCTAAGAAAGTGGATAAGTGGCTCGAACAGACAGTGAAGACATTTGAGATGCTTCACATTGAGGATAGCGAGTTAAGGGTGATTCTTGCGAGTTACTATCTCAAGGGGGATGCGGGCCACTGGTGGAAATACGCTAATGATCGAATAGAACCAATATAAGAAGCATTTGTGGTGGCCTTCCAAGACAAATACCTACCTCCCACTGCTAGGGAGGGGTTGAGGCAAGAATTTCAGGACCTCAAGCAACTCAATATGTCTGTGGCCGAGTTTGAGGCGGCCTTCTCTAGTTTGTCCCGGTATGCACTGGAGTTGGTGGCAACGGAAGAGTGCCATTGCATTGAGTTCGAGAAGAAGTTGAGAACTAAGATCTTGTTCAAGGTTGCCGGGAACATGATTCAGAACTATAACCGTCTTGTGGAGGCGGCGGCACACGTAGAGATTACCGTAGAGGAGAGAATTCGGGGTTCAAGGTCAAGGGGTCAAGGGTCTCAGGGGGACTATAGGCCCAATAAGAAGAGTAGGAGTACCTTTTCATCATAGTTTCAACCGCAGTAGTCCAGATCCACCTTCCCTTTTCCTAGTACGGGCCTGGGAAAAAGTGCACTGAGTGGTTTTTCTTGTTTTAAGTGTGGTCAACTGGGTCACAATGCCTTTGCATGTCTACAGAAGGGAGGAGGACAGCAAATGTTGCCACCACCACCACCTAACCGATCTCAGAGTCAATCTCAGAGTATGGGGCTGGGGTCTACTTGCTATCAGTGCGGTCAGTTAGGGCGCATGAAGAGAGCATGCCCGCAGTTGGGAGGCGCATTTGGCGCATCAAGGTTAAGGCAGACTTAGAGCCACCAGTAGGCTCACTCAGTTCAGACTCCGCGAACTAATCAAGAAGCCATTTCAGCTCAGTCAGTACAGTAGGCCTATGCTCTGAGAGATGAGCAGGTTGATCAGAGGCCACTGGGGCGCGTGTATGCTGTTACTGCGCTAGAGCAGTTGCCGGGATCCTCAGTTGTGAGAGGTATTTTTGTTGTCTATAATTCTTTGGCTAATGTATTGATAGATACGGGTGCATCTCATTCATTCATATCTACTGCATTCGCATCTGCATTAGGGTTAGAGGTGGCATGGTTAGCGTCTCTGCTCAGAGTAGAGTCACCGGTTAGGGGTACAATTGATCTAGACCGGGGGTGTCGTGGTTGTGAGATAGAAATTGCTGGGAGTCAGCTCCCGTTTACTTTTGTGTTGCTAGATATATTGAGTTTTGATGTCATTTTAGGCATGGATTGGTTGTCTTCGTACCAAGTAGTGATCGATTGTTTTCGTCAAAGAGTTACAGTGTGCACCCCGAGTGGTGATTGTTTTTACTATCTGGGAGACCGGGTCGACAGGGTCTTGTCGCTAGTTTTTGACCCTCGTAGTAGAAACGAGCTTAGCGGGCTTCTTACTACTCTCTTGGATAGAGAGAGAGAGTGACAAGACTCGTGTTGAGCTGCTAATAGTAGTTTGTGAATACCCGGACGTATTTTCCGAGGATCTTACTAGTTTGCCACCCCACCGGGAGAATGAGTTCACCATTGACTTAGTGCCTGGAATGGCACCAATTTCCATGGCGCAGTATAGATTTGCACCCGCGGAGTTGCATGAGTTAAAGATTCAACTCCAAGAGCTTTTAGACAAGGGTTTCATTCGCCCTAGCACATTGCCTTGGGAAGCACCGGCTCTCTTTGCGAAGAAGAATAATGGGTCGTTGCGGTTCTATATTGATTACCGTAAGTTGAATCAGGTTACCGTCAAGAACAAGTATCCTTTACCTAGAATAGATGACTTGTTTGACCAACTTAGAGGGTCTTGTTGCTTTTCGAAAATATATTTGAGGTCAAGGTACCACCAGTTGAGAGTCCAGGAGGAGGACATCTAGAAAACGGCCTTTCGTACGCGTTATGGCCACTACGAATTCCTTGTGATGCTTTTGGGTTAACTAATGCACAGGCTTCCTTTATGGATTTGATAAACCAAATTTTTAGAGAATACTTGGATCATTTTGTGATCCTTTTTGTGGATGACATTTTAATTTATTCAACCTCCAAGGAAGAACACGAGGCTCACTTGAGGGTACTGCTTGACTTGCTTAGGGAGTACCAGTTGTATGCCAAATTTGAGAAATGTGAGTTTTGGCTCACCGAGGTGAAGTTTTTAGGTCATGTAGTGTCAAGAGAGGAGGTAACTGTAGATTCTTCAAAGATAGATGCCATGTAGGATTGGGAATAACCCAAAAATGTTTTTGAGATCCAGAGTTTCTTGGGATTGGCGGGGTATTATCGGCGTTTTGTAAGGGACTTTTCTAGACTAGCCGCGCCTTTGACTAGATTGATTAGAAAAGGGGTTAAGTTTGTGTGGTGTGAGGCTTGTGAAAAGTCATTCCAAGAGGTTAAGACTAGACTGACTACCGCACCAATGTTGATAATTCTGAAAAGAGATTTGGGTTGCATCGTTTATTGTGATGCATCTCGGGATGGGCTTGGTTGTGTCTTGATGCAAGGGGGAAAGGTTGTAGCTTATGGTTCACGAAAATTGAAAACTCATTGGAAGAATTACCCTACCCACGACTTGGAGTTAGCAGCAATAGTGTTTGCCTTAAAAATTTGGAGGCATTATTTATATGGCGAGAAGTTTGAGGTTTTCTCCGATTATTAGAGTCTAAAGTATTTGTTTTCCCAAAAAGACTTGAATCTACGCCAACGAAGGTGGATGAAATTTTTGGAGGACTATGATTTCGAGTTACACTATCATCCGGGAAAAGCCAATGTAGTGGCCGACGCCTTAAGTCGGAAATCCGTAAGTCGTTTGGCGAGTGTGGCCATTCGGGAAAGGGTTATGTTGGGTGACATCAACAAGTTTGAATTGCACTTGGGTGAGTCCGATGAGGGTGCAACTTTGTTTACTTTGAGTGCTCAACTTACCTTGATTAGTAAAGTTATAGAGGCACAACAAGGAGACCGTGAAGTAGAGTCAATTCGTGATAAAATCTCCAACGAGAAGGAAGAGAAGGGTTTGAACATCCACTTGGATCTGAGTGTACGATTCTTAGACCGTTTGTTTGTACCAGAATCTTGTAGAAAGGAAATGCTTCGAGAGTTCCATCACTCACGCTTTGCGGTTCATCCGGGAGGCACCAAAATGTATTGTGATCTTAGTCGTTAGTTTTGGTGGAGGGCTATAAAGTGGGATATTGTTTCCTTTGTGTCGAAGTGCCTTACCTATCAACAAGTGAAGGTTGAACACCAAAAACCAGCGGGTTTGTTACAACCCTTACCGATAGCTGAGTGGATATGGAAGCACGTTACCATGGATTTTGTAGTTGGACTTCCTAGAACACAGCGGGGCAATGCCATTTTGGTGATTGCTGATAGGTTGATTAAGTCTACACATTTCATCCCAATGCGTACCGGCGACTCAGTTGAGCACTTGGCAGAGTTGTACATTAGAGAGATAGTTCGACTTCACGGAATTCCTATAATCATTGTATCAGATAGAGATCCTCGTTTTACTGCCCGGTTGTGGCAAAGCCTTCAAGAGGCGTTGGGAACTAAGTTGACCTTTAGCACCGCTTACCACCCTTAAATCGACGGACAGTCGGAGCGTACCATCCAGATTTTGGAGGACATGCTTAGAGTTTGCGTTCTCAATTTCAAAGGGTCTTGGGAGAGACACTTACTGTTGATTGAGTTTGCCTATAATAATAGTTACCAAGCTAGCATCGAGATGGCACCGTTTGAGGCCGTGTATGGCCGATCTTGTAGATCACCAATTTGTTGGGCTGAGGTGGGGGATGCACCGTTAGGTTTGAAGATAGTTAGGGAGACAACCGAGAAAGTTGCTCTCATTCGGAAGTGGTTAGCTACGACCCAAAGCCGACAGAAACGTTATGCCGATAAGAGGAGACGACCTTTGTCTTTCGAAGTGGGTGACCTTGTATTCCTTAAGATCTCAACTAGACGGGGTTTGATGAGATTCGGTAAGTGTGATAAGTTGTCTTCGAGGTTTATTGGGTATTTTGAGATATTAGAGAGAATTGGGGAAGTGGGGTATCGGTTGGCCTTACCGCCACAACTATCGGGGGTTCACAATGTGTTTCATGTGTCTATGCTTAGGAAGTATGAGCCTGATCCTTCTTGTGTGCTTGATTGGGTCAATTTGGAGGTAGATGAAGATGCCTCTTACGAAGAGCGACCGATTCAAATAATAGATACCCGGGAGCAAGTACTACGGGGGAAAACTATACCGTTAGTAAAGGTGTTATGGAGACAACATGGGATCGAGGAAGTAACGTGGGAACGAGAGGCGGAAGTCCCCTTCAAGTATCCAGATTTATTTGAGAATGCTTAAGTTGTTTTAATTTGAAATATTCCCTAGTGTTGAAGGAAATGCATTAAGATTATTAACCATGTATTGTTATAAGTATTGTTGTTTTGAGTATGAGATTGATATGTGTGGCCATTACTATTGATTGAAATATTTCATGCTTATATAATATCATGAACCGTTGTTGTTAGCATTGTAACTAAGATACTACAGAACCATGATGATAATAGTAAGTGTTTTTTGAGAACCTATTTTGTGATTTGAAATTTAATAATGTGATTGAAATTGCGAGAAACTCTTTTGTTTGAATTGTTGGTTTAAATTTCGGGGATGAAATTTCCTATGGTGGGGAGGTTATGATGATCGGTTACGTTGTGCATCTCTTCCCTCCTTGTTTACATTGGGTTTGCCCTTGTTAGAGTGACGGGTCTAACTTGGAGCCTGGTTAATTGTTTGGGTTTATTGTGTCTAGAAGTTTTTCCCAAAATTCTTGTTCTTGTTTATTCTGGTGTTGATTTTCACTTGTTCCGGAGAGTGTGAGGTTAGATTCGGAGTGTCTGGAGTTGAGTTGGAAATTTTCTGGGTTGGAGAGCAAGGGCTGCACGTGCGGAGAGGTGCCGTACGTGTGGGAGGTGAGGCCGCACGCACGGGGAACAGTGGAAATTTCTGGGTTGCATTCTGCATAAAAGGCACGTGAAGAGGAAGGTGCGGAAGGAGGTGTGGGGAAGGCGTCGCATGTGCGGGGGTGAAGGCTGTACGTGCGGAAGGCACGCTTTGCACGTGAGGGCATGGGTGCCGCACGTGCGATGGTAGGTGGAGTATAAAAATCACTCTTTTTCTCCTCTTTTGGCTGATTTTATCTCACTTTGGATATCTCTCTCTCTCTCTCTCTCTCTCTCTCTCTAAAAATCTCTTTTCTCTTACTTCTCTCTTCATTTCTCACCAAAAACATCACAAGATCTTTGATTTCTCCAAATCCATACACATTTTGACCCAAGTTCCTTCATCAAAGTTGGAGAGCTAAGGAAGAGCTACATTGTGTGGAATGGAGATTGGGTTTTGGCACCGTTGATTTTGGGGGTTTCATCTCTTTTTCTTCTCCAAACTTGAGGTAGGGACTTCTTTGAGTTATATATATATGTTTTTGCAAGGTTGATGTTGATTTTAAGGTTTTCTTGAAGATATTATGAAAGTTTTGACTTTTGGCTCAAGAATGTAGGGATTTTCAAAAGTGGGTTTAAATTTCAAATCTTTCCAAGTTAATCCTTGTGGGTTTCACCTTCATTGTGTGAGAAAGGATGTTTTGTGTGTGTGTGTCCTTTTAAATAGGTGAAGAGATACCTAATCTTAGCTAAAGACCCAAATTTATGGATTTTTGAAATGGGTTGAGGGTCTATAAAATTAATCAATTTGTTGTTATGCCACAATGGAAGAATGAAATGGAAAATATCTTTTTCCATTATATAAATGATAATTTTCGTGGAATGTGGGAAATATGGAGATGAGAATTTATAGTTGAAATTATAGATATGGTTATGAAGTAACAAATTGTTGGTCTAACGTGAAATGTGAAAAATATCCATTTGTTGATGAATTTAAACGAAATAATGGGTATCATGCTAGATGATGTTGAAAGAGGAGTGGAAAGTTTGATTATGATGAATCATCGTTGAGAAATTTGATGATGGAGAAATGTTATGTAATGATGACGATTATTGCATTGCATATTCATTCAATGGATTATTACAAGATTATTATTTAGCTTTGACATATGTTGTGTTGGCATTTCTAACATTACATTGTCGCAAATGTCGAATTGAGATTTGAAAACATTTACATTGAGAAAGAAATGTTATGAAATGAATTTATTGAAATGTTTTGGGGTAAATACGTTGGTAAGTCCTTATAGGAGGTGTAGATGAAATTGATTAAGTTTGCCTGAGTGTCTAGGGTTAAAGACCGAAAAACACGGGCGGAGGAGGTACCACTTCCTTTCTGGTTAGCAACTGATAAAATAGAGTTTTGGTAATGCTAGTTGAGTCTACTTGCAGACAACAACCTAGAGATTACCTGAGTCATATTTACCGCCCCATTGAATTAAATTGTAAATTTACTTATTGTTGAGACTTCAAATTATCATTGAGCGTGCTGGTTTGCATAAGATGAAAAATGTAATCTTGTTTGAAATGGCATAGCATGACAATGCATTCCATATTGGGAATCTTGCATAAATGTATACACTTTGTTGAGAATTCTCTACTGGGCTTTATGCTCACCTCTCTGGGATTTTGGTGCAGGAAAAGATGTGGTGAATCAACCTAATTGGGGCGTGGATGTGTGTATCAAGAACACGAGGCTCTATTTTGTTGTGATCATATTTTTGTAAAGCCAAGGGCTATATATGTGTGGGTTTCGAGACACCATTTTTGTGTAACTGGGCTTAAGCCTTGGAATTTGTAAGCCTTTGAGGGCATTTTATTTACTTTTGAATTTGACTTTCTACATGCTATAGATTCATGTATGTAATATCATTGAATGTATAAATTGCATGTGGGACTATTTTGTACTAACTTCTATGATCAATGTTATGATGATTGGGGAGTTGCTATTATTCTTTAATGAATGTCGGTTGATGTACCGAGATTATGTTGGGTAAATTTTAAGGCGTTACAATCACTGGGTCTAATGACAATCTTTCTTTACTTATAAAATATAGTATTGGATACAAGAATGTAAGACTTTCTTATCAGCTTGATCAAGTATAAGGGTGGAATCAGTTTTTAAGTCCAAAATAAAATCTCTTTCATAACTTATAGTAGACCGTATAATCAAAAAAATGTCGAACACTAATAATTGAGTAAAGTTGATAAAAGAGAAAGGACTATCACTTGATCTAATGTCTCTGATGTCAATGTCAATAGAGTTGGTTGCTGTAAACATCCTAGAGTAGCTCTCACTATCTCACCACACATTGGAGACTCCTTCCTTCCCTCAGTGGAGAGCACCCTCTCTGTTAGTCTCAACTCAACCCACACATCCATATTTATACATAAAATAAGATGAAAAAATATAGAGAGTAAATACACTTTTTATTAACGCTATGCTAATACATAGCATTACATTTTTTGCAGCAACAGTTGGCATTCCCAAAGCCCATCATGCATCCACCAATCCAATGCATCAACCAAACAGCTCCCAGGTGAAAAATAACTACTTCAATTAAATATTTGTTTAACATTTCATACTGGCAAAAAAATCCAACACAAACGAACAACAACATATATATGATTGATTTGAAACATACAAAATGGACTCTCTTTTTTTTTTCCTTCATTTTTTTACATGCTTTCTTATTCATAGATCTTGAATGCCCAATGGGGATTGATCAAAACAAACACATAATAGTAAAATGTGAAAATTGGAATTCATTGAACTTTAAGCATACCGGTAAAACCAGAGGTAAGTAATGAGACGATTTTAGGTTGAGTGTAGTCGGGATAATTACTAAGATAACTATTAGCTACCATAGACATGTGATTTAACTTTTGAAGAATTTGATTTTCACTATGACCATCAATATTCTATTCATACAATTTTTTGGCAGAAACATAAAATTGATTGCTAATATTAGTTTCTTCAAATTGAAGATCAGGTGGAGTTGGTTTGTTAGACCAATTTTTTGTAAGAGTAGTAGGATTAACTTTCGAATGTACAATTCAATTAAGATGAGTAGTTTGAAATTGCTGTGCTAATTGACTAATTTCATTAGTAGATGTGTCAGAGTCACAAGTAAATTCTAAAGGTGGTTGTTGTGTTAAGACAGTAATTCCTTTGTCGTTAGAAGGGGCAGATAACTTGGTAAATAAATCTTCAATAGCTTCAACAGTATTAGTATCTTGAGTAACTAGACTTAACCTTTTTCTAGTGCTAGGAAGATTAATAAGAGGTTTGTCTAAAGGTTTACTAGTTGATGTATGGCTAGTTGAGTAATCATCAAAATGAGTTTCAATTTTATCTAATTGTTAACCAATAGTTTTTAAACATTGATTTGTATAATTATTTTGTTCAATCACTTTTTAATTTCAAATTCATCACCAGGAAGTTTAAAAGGAGAAGCATGTACAAGCGATCATTTATGTTCAATGAGGATGGTTTCTAAAGGAGGATGATTAGAAGAAACAGTAGTATTAGGGAAAGTTTTCCATTTAGTTTTTGTAATAGTATTTAATTTTTGATAATAATTTTCAAAATAATCAAAGAAATTGACTTCAGTACTGATTTCATTCATAAATTTATACCATGTCTTAATTATTTTCGATTATTGTCGTTCACTATAAGTATGCCTATAAATCTATCATTTTAATTTATTATCTTTATATTTAAATTCAAAATGAAGTTTATTAAGATCTAGAATAAAAGGTTTACTAAAAGTTAATAATTGTGGATTAACTGGAGGAATAACTTCAAAGTCTGTTTGAGTGGGTGAATCTTGAGATGTGGTATCTTCTTCATGAAGATGTGTGTGTGTTGAATCAACAAGTTTACTAATTTGAGATGTAGAGGAATTATCAATTCCTTTTAATTTACTATTAGCAGTATGTGGGGGTTAACCAATAAAAAGTTTTCGATCTTTGTGAGTAAATAAAGAGGTACTAAAATTTTCATTGTCTTCAGTAGGGATACCAGAGGTACTATGACCAGAGGAGTGACTAGTTAGGTGATTAAATCGTATGTGAACTGAACCATCATTGAATTGTTGGATTTGTTGGACATCATTTTGATCAAATTGGTGTGGTTGAGAATAATTTTCATTGACTGTAACCCATTCATCTGGAAGAGTTATATCATTTCAACATATGGTTTTACGGACTTCTATGCTTGTTTGACTAGTACTACCTTGAACAAGTAAGGTTTTGTCTTTTGGACTTTTTACTAAAGCATGTAAATTAAGATTTGTTTTAATACATTTATAATAAGTATGGTATATTAAAGCAATAGAATGGGCACCACCATGTATTCTAGTA